CTAATAATAATAACTAAGTACAGATATATAACTAATATAGTAAGTAATAAGTAGTACGTACTATATATAGTATATAATACTATATTAGTACTAGTATATATATATATATATATATATATATATATATATATATATATATTACATTCTTACATCTCGATGTCAAAATGATCGATTAGAGGTTTTTTCAACATTAAAACAACATTTTTTGATGGGCTTTTGAGGTATATCTATAATTCTACATTTTAAGTTTGCAACCTCATATAAACTTTTTCATTACTTAGATAGTGTAGATTGAATACTATCTTAAAAGATGTGCTAGTTTTTGACACTATCTTTCACAACCTTACTTTTACAAAAAAAAAAGCCACCATGTACCAACACGCATCCAATTTTACCCATACAAACAATAAAAGATAGTTAAAATAAAGGGAAGTTAGTTACATGTGCACAAAGCCCGTGAAGCCTCACGAGTCATGAGGATTTGAACCGTCATTATTTCCTTTGAATGCTAAAAGTAAAGGAGAAGATGCACTACTTATTCCTCCTGCAAATGATGGAAAGATGGGCGTATTTCATTCTCGCTTGGTTGTGAATTTGGAGTTTTCACTTTTGCACCTGCAAAGCCAAAACAGCATTTCGTAAATTGGAACCTAACCACCTTTTTTTTCTTAGCAGAAGCACATCTCTCTTTGGGCAGAATATTTTAAAAGGCATGGTATACTATAACATCATTTATTTTCGTGACAAAAAAGTCATAATTACTTCGAGTCATATGTCAAATTGGATAGCTTAGGATAAATCATGAAGTTCAAATTTTTTTATTATAACTTTGAGTCTAGTAAAGAACATACTCATAATCACCTAATTTGAATTCTGATGAAATATGATAGATAAAAGTGGTTGTGACTTTCTTGTACTAAAAATATATGGTTTCTTTGTATACGTGTGCATTTTAAAATAATATCGATTCTAGGTAGTGGTAATTCTTGGTCGAATTCCATGATTCAATCCTAGTATTGTGAGTAATAGGACCTAATAAACCATTATTTTGTTTATAAAGCCATCTTAAAAAAAAAATTCTATGAACACATGAAAATTTTGAAAATAGACAATCTTGATGCATTATTTTTAGGAATTGAAATTATCTTTTTTTATTCATATCTATACATCTTAAGGTTGAGATGATCAATTGGACGGTTTTTCAATTTCAAAAACAATCTTTTCTATAAGATTTTTGAAGTGCAACTTTCTTCTATAGTATAAAGTCGGAACCTTATATAAACATTTTCCTCTATTTAATATATTTGAGTGCCCTTGATTAAGGGTAAGAGCACATGATGTGTACTGTGGGGACCCTGTCTCGTTGCCATTCTATAAGGAAAGTGACCATTTCGAAAACCTAATCTGATTGCTTTATGTAACGGCCAAAGCAGGTACGTTTGTATTACTTCCCTTTCATGGTCAAGGATGATGACTGTGTCAGCCATGGTGGCTACGTATCTTTTAAAAAATAAAGTATGAGTAGGGTTAACCCCCATCGTCCATCAAATGGAATAGATGGTGGATGTCTACGTGGTATAATCCTCTACTAAAAAAACTTTTATTGGTATGAACCTATAATCTTACAGGATTGCATATAATGATACCATTTACCTTTCATACAAGGAAGTCATAATTGCTTATAGCCACTTGATGTGAGATCCGATAGCTGAGATGTGTCACAAGGTTTGAAAAAATTTATTTTGAACTTTGAGCTTGGTCAATACAATAAATGTAGCCACCCAATTTCACATCCAATGGTCAAGATTAAGTGCAATGACCTTGTACCAAAGATAATTGGTCTCATTGTATACTTTTCTATATGTTATAATATGAACATTTGCATGCCTCTTCTATTTTTGGGGTGTCAAGGGCTTTTGTTTCATCTCAAATGAGAATGTGATATGATAAACATGATCTTGAAATGATTTCGGAAAAAGAAACAACAAAAATTCATCTATTTTTGAGAAAGAGAGAAAATGCAATAAATACCTACTATCCAATTTAAGAAGAAAAAATAGTATTAGATGGGCGCTCTAGGGGGTACAACATCGACCCAAAACGCCATTGGTTAAGAGGGATAATTTGGTTCAAGTGGAAGACTCTAAAAAGTTAATCAATGGGAAATTAGTAAAAATAAGAAATTATTTTAACATGGTTAAATAATTAAGCATTGCTTTTTATCTGATGAGCTATATATATATTTTTAAATGACATTAAAATATTTAAAACATAGTTCTATGGACATTTACATGGGCAAAGAACTAGAGAGAGAGAGAGAGAGAGCAATTAAAAAGTAAAATTTTTCACAAATTTGACCTTTCAATTTTAAAAATTGAATATTCAGCCCTTGATTGAGCAAAATAACCGAACAAGATTCATGTAGTCCACCCTAAATAGTTCGGATGAGGCTAAAATAATGATGATGGTGATTGATGCCCTCGGAGGATTTGTTTATTTCTAAGTTATATAAATTGCATCATCATTGCTAGATGAGTAACTAATAAAAGATTGATTTTGAATTAGTAAAGGACTTGATCTAGCCACCCTTGCATTTTCCAAATTCCAAAAAGCCTTTTTTTGGGGCTTTTCTTGACTTTATTTTTATACGCTTCTGCATAGGTCTAGGAAGCCAAAATAATGTATGTGCATTTATTTGGTGGCTACATTTATTTTATGAGTAATGATCCTATAGGACCCTTCCCGACCCATGTGTATAGGACCTCAAATGATCACTATTAAAGTTGGTACATATATTTGTAAAAGTTATTGTATAGGTATGAGATTTGACTTTTTTATGGATCTGTGCCAAATTTAATAATGATCTTTTGGAGTCCTACACACATGGATGGGGGAAAGTCCTATAAGATCATTTCTCTTATTTTATTGACCAAGCTCAAAGTTCAATTTTTTTTTTTTGAACTTTGTGACACACCCAGGCTATTAAATTTCATATTAGATGGTTGTATATAATTGTGGCTTCCCAATACCAAATGCAAATAGTATGATTGTGTAAAATTCTTCAAAAAAACACCCTTAAAGTTCCCCAAATATGCATGTGCCAAAGATAAGATGACGAAAATGCCCCCTAAAATCCCCCAAATGCATGTACCAGTCCGTCCTTGGGCAAGTGAAACGTTCACCCTTAGATACATGAAATAAAAGACGCATCTTAGGCCACAATGCACTCTACGTGGCACATGATGGGTCATCCACCTTCCATTCTAGCTGCTGTATGGTTCAGATTAATCCTGGACTCAAATGTCGTGTACTCACCAGCTATGAGTCTATGACTATCGTGTAACATATTACGATACATAAATGTGTCCCCGTTCATGAATGCCCTTCCATTTGTATATAAGAACAAATGCACATAACACAAAGATATAGAAAAGGAAAATGGTGTGATAGGATTGCAAGCTTATCAAAATAAGTAAAGTCTCACCTTATAACTCATCAAAAATTACAATTAAAATGCTGAAAAACTTTTAAATTGATCATCTAAACTTGATCATTATGGTTGTAAAAAAAATTAGAATTTAAAATTCTAAAAATAATATATATGGCAGCAAGTCATCTAAGACATCTATTTCACCCAAAAGAATAAGCGTTAACAAATCTGCAAGATCTATATTAATTTTTTAAATTTCAAATTTTATTATCTGTATTGAAAATTGATTTTAGAGTCACCGTAAAGATGATGTCTTATACCAAAGTGCTTTCCAAACGAAGATTTGAGGGAACTATAGGAATTACATGAGCAAAAGAAAATCAGCCCAATATACAAAAAAAAATTTGTATACAGGTACACTGAACACAACGGTGCTTAAACAGGCCATGGCCCCAATTGGGGTCAAAACTCACGGCTCACACCCACCTACCCTAGAGAGAGAGAGAGAGAGAGAGGGAGGTTTCTATCTCTTCTTGAGGCCTCTGCAACTCTCACTAGCGATCTTGGTCTTAACACACTCGAATTCAGGCACCCCACATGGAATGATGAGGCCCCCTGAGCTGTTATATCCATACTCCTCCTCTGCCTCCTCTAAGAGCTTCCCAAACAAAGGGTGATTACAATACACGACTGGCACCAAGAATCGATGGTCGTCGTCTCTCTGCCCAGCGTACACAACCAAGTAGCCCTTTGGGATTGTTTTCCCCTTGCATACACTACCTTCTTCTCTGATTTCTCTTTTAACAAAACCACTCAAAAGAGTCTTACCCATTTTAGATGAATCCATTTTGAGGGGATTTTTCTTCAGTTTTCTCTTCAGCGTTGTGACCCATGTGTGCCTTCTGTTGTGATTGTTGTAGCAGCAACTGCTGTGGTTGCTTGGATTCAAGCGCGTGTATCGTGGTGTTTGATTCTTGCTCTCACAGGCCGAATTCCACAATTGCACCAGCTTGCGACCGATCCGAAAGCCCCTAGTCTGGCCCATTGTGGTTAGAGAGAGAAAGAGAGATAGAGAGAGAAAGAGAGGTGGGGGAGTTAAGAGAGAGGCCAAGGATCGTGGATGGGCATGGTGAGGCAAGAGAGAAAAAGTCCAAATTCAAAGGGAGAAGTTGGGGTGTTAGACATGGCTCGCAAATGAACTAGACCATGAAAAAATAAGTTTCATGAGTTATAGGAATCCATTTTCCGGTATTTCGAGGTTGTTTCGAGAGTTAATAGAATCCTAGAGAGAAGCTGCTATAAAATGGAGATTCATGGATTTGGGGGTTTCAAGAGGGAGGGCGTGGCGGTGGGTAGAGGGGGTCAAAAGCTTCAACAAATGATGCTCCCTCAACCCAACGCCAGCCAAGAATTGTGAAGAGGAGTTTCTGTTTTGGAATCCCAAGATCTCTCGGTGGCTTTACAGAAGAATCTGTGCTTTTATAGCATGGGGGGGTAGCGTAAGAGAGAGACGGTGGGAAGAATGAATGGGTGGTTTCTTCTGAGTAGGGAGAGATGGGAAGGGTCAAAGGAGGCAGTGGTGGGCTTCGGAGTTGCCCGCTCCAAAGGGCAGGCAGTCAATAGGTGAGGAGAGAGAAGAGAGAGGTGGGGCTCAGAAGTCAGCAAACAGCTACCTCTCTCTACCTTCAAATGGCACCCTTACCTTTCTCTCTCCACACTCATCGTTGCGGACCCGCTCCTCCTCCTCCCTCTCTCTCTCGCAAAAGAGGGGCAATCTCTGCCTCTCGCTTAAATATCCTCCAATATCCCCTATCTACCATATTATTTCTCTCTCTACATTAACAACTTAATCCCTATATTCGCCTCGCCCTTTGAAAGTTCTCAATAAAACTCACCTAAGATTCGGATAACCAAATAATTCATTAATGTAAACTTGCATCAATAATTCTTTGTATCTTTGTGATTTTGAGCAGATACAAGAGATTTTGCTTTCCATTTGTTTAGAGAGAGAAGATATCTTGTGGATTTTTGGTTGGGGCTTTTTTTTGGGTCCGTTCTGGCTATTTGTATGCATTCATTAGGTTAGGTTAGGTTAGTTGGTGGATACTTGAAGATGGTCGGATCCATTTCACCAAAATGTAGCCTAGAGACAAACCCTATTTTGTAGAAAGAGATCATTTTGTTGGTCCAATGCCATTTCTTCTCTTTATCTTACCACTTGGGATCTTTTCTCTACTCTCATATGACAAAGAGCAATCTCTCTCTCTCTCTCTCTCAAATTCTCGTCTTTCTCTCAATATAATCTCTCTCTCTCAAATTCTTTCGTCTTTCTCTATATTTTGTCTTGTTAATTTTCATCACTAAACGTGGCACCCTCACCAACCGCTTTAAACACCTTAACTAATCCGCACTTATTTAATTTCGGACGATCAAAACACATGCCATTTTTTTTTAAAATTTTTTTTAAAGAAATAATTGGGTTTTCTTTTTAACGCAAGCTGCTCACGATCATTTTTTTCTATTAGATTTTAAATTGGGCGGTTGTGAGTGTATTATCGATTAAGCTCAAAGTTCAAAAAAAAATTCTCAAACCTTATATCACAAGCCAAGATGTTCAATATTGATATTTAATAGCTATGAACAATTGTAACCTCCTTAACAACAAAGATAATTGGTCCCATAGTATACAATCTTTTAAAAAATGTGGACCTAGATTATAATTGTTTGATTTGGATCGGGAATTGGTGGGATTGGTCCGATGGGTTGATAATTTGTCTTTAATCCCAAATATTAAAAGATTATTTTCCCTATTCTATAAGATTAGGTCAGTTACCTTTTAGGTTTTCTATTTAATTGGGTAGTGCCTAATATTTAGAAATTTATAGGAATAAGTTATACTTAGATTAAGATGGGCCTTTAGTCCACATGAATAAAGATAAAATTAACTTTTCATAAAGTTAATAAACTTTTTGAGGTATTCATTTTCTCTATATTAAGTTGCTTTTGTCGCGAGACAAAGATCCATAGCAATAAAAGGAAATTTTGGAGGTTTTTGTATGGAGAAAATTGTAGTGAGAAGACGGCTTGGTGGGATATTGAGCTATGTGTCTCTTCATCTATCAAGTAAATATCTTGTAATTTTTTTTATTTGATTTAATGGAAAACATCGATCGTCTTCGTCCGTGGATGTAGTCACATCTATGACATCGATCGTCTTTGCCCGTGGATGTAGTCACATATGTGATGAATCTTTATTTGATTTATTGGAAAATTACATCTATAACATCGATTGTTTTTTCCCGTCGATATAATCACATCTGTGACGAACTACGTAAATTTTTGTATTATTTTTTATGGTATTTTTTTTTTGCTTTATTTTTATTATTTGTTACTTGTTATTATCGGTTCTTTTTTATTGTACTTTATTTGCCAAAAAATCAACTCGTTGGATTTAAAACTTTAACGCACAATAAGTAGTATTAGAGCCCTATGGCAGTAAACGTTTTGAATGCAAATTTTGAGGTGGAGAGATTTGATGGCAAATACTATTTTTCAGCAAAAATGCTGAAGAAATTTATTTGACAAAAAATAATTTATAAAACTAGGTGTTGGCATGATAAGCTAGTGATTTTGATATCAAGGTGGAGATATCAAGGTGGAGATTGTTAGATTTGGCACGATCCAAAATCACCCACATAAGGAAATTCCATATTATGTGGGATTCAGATATTTTTTTTAAAATAAATAAAATTCCAAAAAGATTAAGACTCTTGGATATATCTCTTGGTTTTTTAGATATATGTAAGAAAGTTTCCTATTTAGTGTGGATTTCTAATATAT